TTCTAAATTTTTTATCTGACATGTCCATGAGTTCCATTGTATTGTGTGAGGATGAAAAGAAGTAATTCTTTTCCCTTGGAGGAGAGGTTTTTTTTTGCTTTCTCATATTTCTGTGACCCTGCAGTGATTTCTGGTCATCTGGAGGACTGTGCATTTCTTCCTAATTTTTGAAATTCATTCTGAGTGTTCAGAGGCATGCAGGAGGAGGTGATCTGCAATCTCTCTTCTGTTTCATTTTTCACTCTTTTTGCATCAAATTCAGTGGGAATTCAGGAATATTTTGACCCTAATCATATTCAGATATTTGGATACTGTTCACTTGGACCTGTCTAGACATTCAGTGCATGGAGGCTGAGCAGCCAAGTATGAAGTTAAAGGAAAATGGAAAAGAATTAGAGAAGAAGAAAGAAGAAAAAAGAAACTAATGAAAACGAAAAAAGAGACAATAAAAATTTTATATTTTAATTTCAAAAAGCAAAATATTAAAAACGCATGGTACGTGCGCCATGCCAAAGCAATATTTCACAGCTCAAGTTCAGTAGCCCTCTTTTGATGGGCCTGTGCTTGTGCCTCTCCTAAATGGGACAGGGAAAGGCACAAATTAGCATGATAAAGGAGGGGCTTGAGAGCCTAGAGAATACTTTACCTTAAAAAATTAAAAGAGAAAAAATTAAAGACAGAGGTAGATACATAGAGATAGAAGGATACAGCAGTAGCCATCCCAGGATGGGCCTGGATTTGTGACTCTCTAGAAATGAATCTGGAGGGAGAAGTCTCAACAGAAGATCTTCATTTTTAGTTCCTGAAAGCAGTATTTCATAGCTCAAGTTCAGTAGCTATCTCAGGATGGGTCTGGGTTTGTGCCTCCATTATCCTTATTCTTAAAACAGACAAGGAAGAAAAATTATATGCCAATATTTCTGATAAATATAAACACAAAAATTCTCAACAAGATAATAGCAAATTGTATCCAGCAACATATAAAAAAATTTATTCATCATGACCAGGTAGGCTTTATTCCAGGGATCCAAGGGTGGCTCAACATACACAAAACTATAAACATAATACACCACCATATTACTATGATCATAAAAACCATTTGATTACATCAATTGATGCAGAAAATGTTTTTGATAAAATACAACATTGCTTCATGATTAAGACTCAGCAAAATTGGCATAGAAGGATCATTCCTCAATGCATTAAAAGCTATCTTTGAAAAACCCATAATTAAAATCATTCCCACTAAAAACTGGTAGAAGATCAGACAAGACATGGATGACTACTATCTCTACTCTTCATTATAATACTGGAAGTCTACACCAATGCAATCAGAAAAGAGAATAAAATAAAAGGCATTCAGGTAGGAAAATAAAAGGTGAAATTATTTCTATTTGCAGATGACATGACTGTATACATAGAGGACCCAATGGTATCCATGAAAAAAATTCTGGAAGTAATACATGAATACAATGAATTTGCACAGTACAAAATCAACATACAAAAATTTATAGCATTTCTATACACGAATAGCAAGGAGACTGAGAGAACTGAGCAAAGTAATTCCATTTACCATAGCCGAAAAAAGAATAAGATACCTAGAAATAAATCTAACCAAAGAAGTCAAAGATCTCCTCAAGGAAAACTATGAGAAGCTTAAAAAAGAAATAGAAAATGACACCAAAAAATGGAAGGATACCCCATGTTCCTGGATTGAAAGGATTAATATAATCATAATTACAATTTTACCCAAATTAATATACATATTTAACACAATCCCAATCAAAGTACCAGAGACATTTTTCACATATCTAGAAAAGACAATCATTATAATTTGTCTGGAATAATTAAAGACCCAGTATTGCCAAAGCGTTCCTGTGCAAGAAGAGCAGAGTAGGAGACATCTCACTCCCTGACTCCAAAATACATTACAAAACTGTGATATTCAAAACAACATGATATTGGCACAAAAACAGACATGTGGTTGATGGAACAGAATAGAGACCACAGAAATAAACCCCAAAATATACAGCCAACTGATTTTCAGCAAAGCATACCTGTCAATCCAGTGGGGAAAGGAAAACTTCATTAGCAAATGGTACTGAAAAAACTGGGTATTCACTTGAGGAAAGGTGAATCTGAACCTCTATCTCTCGCTATTGACAAAAATCAACTCAAAGAGGATCAAAGATCTAAACCTAAAACCTCAAACTATAAAACTACTGTTGGAAAGCACTGAGGAAACTGGGAGAGATTGGGGTAGGAAAAGATTTCCTTTTTTTTTTTTTTTTTTTTTTGAGAGAGATTTTCACTGTAGAGCGCGTGCGTTCGCCAGACAGACAGAGAGAGACATAGAGACAGAAAGCGAGAAAGCACCCCCCAGGGGGGATGGTCACGCCGCAATCCCTTCTCCTCCATTCTCCTCTCAGGATCTTGGGCACGCACGCACACGCGCCCGGTGTGACCAGGACTCGAACCGCGGTCGACTACATGGGAGTCCAGCGACATAGCCATTACGCTAACTGCTGGTCCCAAGATTTCTTAAATAAGAACCTTAAAGCACAATCTATAAATCCAGAAACAGAGGGAACCAGCAGTTAGCATAATGGCTATGTCACTGGATTCCCACGTAGTCGACCGCGGTTTGCATCCCGGACCTGGTGGCTTAAAACTCACACCAGGCGCATGTGCGTGCATGCCCAAGATCCCAAAAGGAGAATGGAGGAGAAGGGATTGTGGCATGACCATCCCCCCTGGGTGGTGACTTCTCACTTTCTATCTCTCTGTCTCTCTCTGTCTGTCTGGCAAGCGCACACGCCCTATAACGAAAAAACCTCTCCAAAAAAAAAAATATCCAGAAATAGACAAGTGGGATTACATCAGCTTAAGAAGTTTCTGCACAGCAAAAGACATAGTAATCAGTGTGAAATGACAGCACTCAGAATGGAAGAATATTTTTGTAAACTATGCTTCAGATAAGGGACTGATAATACATAGGGGAAAAAAAAGGTCAAAGATCAACCCATTTAAAAGATGGGAAAACAAACTTTAAAAAGCACTCTAAAGAAGACATACAAACAGCCAAAAGGCATATGAAAATATGCTCAACATCCTTCATCACAAGGGAGATGCAGATCAAAACCACACTTAGATACCACCTCACCCCCATCAGAATGACTTGGATTTAAAAAACAATGAATTATAAGTGCTGGTGGGGATGTGGTGTTAGTGGAACTCTTCTACACTGCTGGTGGGAATGTAAATTGGTCCAGCCACTGTGGAGAACAATATGGAGATTCCTCAAAGATCTACAAATAGAGCTACCATATGATTCAGCAGTTCCACTTTTGGGTATCTACCCAAAGATATAATACTTAGTTCAAAAAGTGCTTGCACATCTATGTTTGTTGTGGCATTATTCACAGTTCTTAGGACATGGAACCTACCTAAATGTCCAAGAACAGAAGAATGGATTGAAAATGGATAACATATATACTCTATTGAATACTACTCCACCATTAAAAAAAAAAAAAAGACCGTCGCTTTTGATAGAAAGTGAATGAATATGAAAGATTTACTGCTGAGTAAAGTAAGCTGTGTTATGAAGGAGAGACATTGTATGTCTCCACTTTATACCGACTCTCTGTACTCTATGGCTGAAACTGTAAGGTTAGAGGATATAGAAATATGAAAAATGGTTATAGATACTGGATACAGTGTGAGAAGGTGGGAGAAGGAGAGTCTGAGGAAAGACACTAATAAGAAAAATAGAGGCAAAACATTTATGGGACACGAAAATGGATTAGTTCCTGTTGATGATAAAGTGTATAGCATCCCTAAATGGTCTGGTGCTAAATGTGTTCCTGTTAGAAAATTCACGTTACAAGCTAAGTGATGTATATTGATTGAATGTTTAAAAGAAATTAAAAGAAAATAATATATACTTTTAAAAACCTTCAAACAAACAAAAAGACAGAACTGGACACCATTACCAACAGAGTTTGTATTCATTTATTGGAAAAATTAAAAATTCAAGTTAGAACAACATTAATAGCAATGCAAAAAGGAGACTCCAGCTGAGGACACTGACACAAAGAAGAGAGGAGGAAAACAAAGTGGCTGTAGTGAAAACCAAGTGAGGAGAAATTTTCTAGCAGAAAGAGTCGTGTTCATCTCTTTTGAATGTTGCTGATGATGACTAAGATAAGGTCCGAAAAACGGTCTCTAGATTTAACAATAGGAAAAGCCATGAAGACACTGACAGAACAGTTGCAAGAAAATGAAGGAACAAGGCCTAGTTAGTTGAAAAAGACTCAGAAGAGAATGAAGTAAACAAATGGAGCTTTTCCCAAATAAAAACTCTTTTAAGGAATTGTACTGTGAAAATATTTATATAATGAGATGTACCTAGAAATGGTATCCATGGGGAGGAGGCCAAGGAAACAAGGCCGCTCTAGCCACCAGCGGTTCCTATTACAGGGGTCCGGAGGAGGAGCCAGGCGGGGCCCCGCGGACCAGCACTGAGCCAGCGGTAGGCTGGAAGGAGCCCCAGGCAGCCGGGCCTCAAGGAGGCAGGTGGGAGGCCAAGGCTGCAGACTTAGGGTGGGGGCTGAGAGACAGGGTGGGGGCTCCCTCCCATGTCTGCAGCCTCCCGGGCCCTGGTACCAGGCCTCACCAGCCTGCAGGCGGGGGAGCTGCCTGTCACCCAGGGCCATGCCTGGGCCAGTGTAGTGGGTAGGTGGAAACTCGAGGCTCTGGGGTCCGCGCTGAGGCCTGGACAGCACGGCCAGATGATGGTGGGCCCCTGTGTTTCTCCAAAGGAAAGATCCCCAGAGCAGCCGTGTCTCCGTGCTGTCCCTGTCCCTGTGAGGCGTTTTGACATTAGCCCTAGGGAAGCTGGGCAGCCCTGAGTCTGTGTTAAGTGCCCTTAGGATGCAGTGGTCAAGGAATTAGGTTCTCCGGGAAGGGCACCACCGCCTGTGCTCCTGAACTCGGTGCAGAGAAAAGGGACTGCAGAGAAAAGGGACGGAAAGATGCTGTCCGAGCAATCCAACCCACGTGCAAGTGACAGTGCTCCAAGTCAGAGAACTGAAGCCAAAAGACTAAAGTAGCACTAATGACGTATATACCATAATTCAACTGGGTAAAGAAAAATACTCCACCTCTGTAGCTGAGAAAACCCTTGAGCCAGTCTGGAAGGAAGAGGCCTCCTTTGAGCTACCTGGATTGCTAATGCAGGGGAATAGAGAAATCGTTTTCCTCATAGTTATGCACAGGTCTCTAGTGGGTCTGGATAAATTTTTAGGGCAGGTGGCAATCAATCTCAATGACATCTTTGAGGACAAACAAAGGAGGAAAACAGAGTGGTTTAGATTAGAATCCAAACAAGGAAAAAGAGCCAAAAATAGGGATGAGATAAAGGTCAATATTAAATTTATGAGGAACACTATAACAGTGAGTATGTTTGACTTATCAATGAAAGACAAAACGAGATCTCCTTTTGCAAAATTAAAAGATAAGATGAAAGGTAGAAAGAATGATGGAACATTTTCTGATACGTATTCTGCAATCATTCCAAGTACTCACATGCCTGATGGCCAGTACTGAATTTTCAAGTGGTGAAGTACAGATGAAATTCGAACCAAAAAAGCCTTCTCTTTTGGGTCCTCAGCGACTCTCTTCAGCACATTCAATGTCTGATTTAACTGGATCCCACATGTCTTCTGAGAAACTGAAGCCTGGTACCATGGGTCAAGCACATCTTCTCAGAGGCCAGATAGAGTCCTTTGGAACAGTTCCAGAGAGTAGAAGTCTCAAATCTTCACACAGAAGAACATTAAGCTTTGATACTTCTAAAATGAGCCAACCTGACGGCATCGTGGATGAAGGTGAATCGTGTTTTGGAAGACAAAATGACCCATTTACAAATGTAACTTCTTCATTACCCCAAAAATTTGCAACACTGCCAAGGAAGAAAAATCCATTTGAAGAAAGCAGTGAATCATGGGACAACAGTGTGAATTTATTTTCAAAATCAATTGAAGCAAGAAAAGAAAATAAAAGAGAGAAAAGGAAGAAAGTTGACTCGTTTGAAAGAGTAACTGGAAAAAAAGATAGCAGAAGATCTGATAAGCTCAACAATGGGGGATTTAATAGCCCTTGTGACTTGAAATCACCTAACGCATTTAGTGAAAATCATCAGGACTATTTTGATTATGTCAAGTAATCCATTTACAACAAAATTCAGGGCTTCAAGTATAATGCCATCTTCAAGTTGGAGTCATGGAGCTATATACTATGTCTGTCATTCCCTACCTATTTCCATATGAATCTGACAAGCAATGAGGATCTCAGGAAAATCCCCGACAGCAACCCTTTTGATGACACTGTGGGATATCATAGTCTGACTTATGAAGAGGTACTGCAGGAACTGGCAAAGCACAAAGAACTCCTTAGGAAGGACACCCACGTCCGGGAACTTGAGGACTACATTGACAACCTCCTCCTCAAGGTAATGGAAGAAACGCCCAGTATTCTCAGAGTGTCATACGAACCATCTAGGACAGCTGGCAAATTCTCCAATAATAAACAAAACAGAGGGTACTGCGTTTATAATTAGAAAAAGAGAGAGGAAAAGGAAAAACTTGTTACTGAAAAAACACTATCAGGTTTCACTATATATTCTCTTCCATTGTGAAAAATGGTTTTACCTGTATATACCACCAGGAACTATCAAGTGTGATCTTTGAAGCGAGTGAAGTAATTTAAACTTTTAAAGTGAAAATGGGCAGATTCTTGATGAATAAGCAGTTTGAGGATTCACTTAGGTGCCAGTGACAGCCCACTCATCTGCCAGAGGCCTCGAAGTAGCTTCAGAAGTATAGGAGTTATTTTTTAGGAATCGATTTTTCATAAAGCAGAATTAATACTGTGGTTGGTTTCTCAAAAGTCAATTTATAAACATGTTTAGCTTCAGGAATACCACTCATAAAAACTACTAAAAATAAGTTTGTATTTTATATACATCTGTATGTACATGAACATATGTTCACATATTTTTGTATATAAACTACATTCATATACCTCGTATATATGTGTGTTTTAAAAGCATTTAAAAGTAACTGTTGCCTATGGGACCAGCAGTTAGCGTAATGGCTATGTCGCTGGACTCCCACGTAGTCGACCGCAGTTCGCATCCTGGACCCAGTGGCTTAAAACTCACGCCCGGCGCGTGTGCGTGCGTGCCCAACATCCCAAGAAGAGAATGGAGGAGAAGGGATTGCAGCATGGCCATACCCCCTGGGGGGTGATTTCTCGCTTTCTATCTCTCTGTCTCTCTCTGTCTGTCTGGCGAGCGCACGTGCCCTATAGCAAAAACCTCTCAAAAAAAAAAAAAAAAGTAACTGTTGCCTCTAAGGCTAGGGTACCAGTTTCTTAATTTGAAGATGTACGTGCTCTCTATCGATACAAGACAAGTCATTACTACCTACTATTATGGTTTGTAATAGAGAAGCTGCTTCAAATCACTCTTGACTAGATGAAACTTGGATTTGTACTGAAATGCTGCATATTTTTCCAACATTAATTTTTTGCTTTTTCCAAAAATAATGATCCAAAGTCATCATCTTTTCTTTTATGACAAATTTTATTAAATCTCAGTAACTTTACAACAGTATACATTTCTTTGAGTGAATTTCTTAACATTTGAGTTTTGTTTAAAGTATAAGTAGAAGATAAGCTAATGCAGTTTGTTTCATTGAAATTCTACATGCCTTTAAATCACTGGCAAAGAACATGCTACAGAGTTATATCTGAAAATGATTTGGGGGCAGGGAAAGGACGTGATTGTCTGGTGCTTGATAACTCAAAGTAATGGGCAAATTCTAGGAATGAAGAATTAGACTTGGTTTCAAGTTACATAAATAGTAGAACAGATGGTTGCCTTTGGGTCTTGAACCAAAATAAGACTTAGTCAAGAAGGAGTGAGTTTTTTGAGCAGATCTGTACTAGCATGACATTACACGTTACTCTACATCTACCCTGTAAGACTGATTTATCACAAAATGATGTTTTTCAGGAAAAAAAATAATCCCCAAAATATTGATTCCTTCCATGGATTATTTTTAAATATTTGTATAAAATTATTCTGTAAATTAAATCAGAAAAAATAATATAAAAGTATTTCTAATCTTCTGCTTACCTTTTGGCCTTAAAAACAGAAAACACTATGAAACACTAAGAATTATCTGTGTCTTTTTGAATTTAAAAATTAAAAATTCATCACCATATGGAAATTTAAATGTTCTCTAGACCTTTAATGAATTACATTTTTTCTAATATTTATCTCTGTTTCGACTTCATCAAAAGTTAAATTATAAACAGATGTGATCATTTTACTTATTTTAATATTTTGAATTGGAACACTTGAACAAACTTATATTTACAAACTATAATTTATTGTTATTTGTATTTTATGAAATTTTTTAGTTTTCCTATAAACATGAATTTTGAAATACTGAAAATATTTCCCCCCCAAAAAAATAGATTCTAAAATTAAGAAATGGAAAAAAAAAACTTTTATCAATTCTCTCTCCTTTAAAATTCTGTAATAAAACACAGAATTGGGTATAGAATTTTCCCATTTGAGGTTTTGCTGGTTATAATAATTATTTTTTAACATGGCACCATGTTTAATTGACATTTATTAAATGTTATAAATTTGAAAAAATGGTATCCCCAGAATTCTTTAATTACTTACTTAAAATAGAAACATAAGATTACCTGCCACAATGATAATGATTATGAAAGGAAAAAAAAAGATACAAGAATACATGGGAAAAATACTGTGCCAATTGTCATGTGCAGACTAGACAGATTGAGGTTTATTGTTCACATGGAAGGAATGGCTTTTATTTGAATACAGATGGTTGACAGATGAATGACACATTACTGACTAATGGAACAGGGTAACACTATATTCTGTACTGAGATGTTGAAGCATCAGAAGTGGTCCAGTATTATTACAAGTAGATTGGATCTGATCAACCTTTGAGATATTGAAGTGGCTGTTTTGAGTAGTGAACTTGGGTATATAAGTATAGGCCTGAAAAGAAAATATAATCTGGAGGTATAAATGTGGTATTCATCTGTAAGTGATCTTTAAAGATAGGCTATCAACTGGCTAGCCTTAGATAACAGGAAGAAGTAAGCGATGAGAAGTTAAGACTTACAGGCCTTGCTGTATTTAAGTGCAACATATATCTTCTTTTGGACATTTTTGTCAAATGATGTCTAAAACGATGTATTACCTTATTTAATTTTAATAAGAAAAGGTAACATTTAGTTTTTTTAATTTTTAAAATCTATTATTATTATTTTATACATTCGGTCACTATACATGATTCAGTTTATAAAGAGAATGGATTTACCAACATGAAATACACCTCAGACCAGTCAAGAATACCATACATGTTATCATCAACAGTTAATAAACCATTTCTGTGTCCCACAAATGTCTTGCCTTTCTATTTTGTTTACTGTTATTACATTAACTTCCTTAACTTAATCTATCAAGGCTGACATATAGTTTTGGAAAGAAAAATATTCTCAAAATCTTATGTCAATAAATGCCTCCAGAGTTCTGCTATTACTACTTCTAAAGTAGATTGTTTTAATGAAGCTATTACAAAATAAGACTTTGTTGATATATTATTAATCCTTAATCTACTCTACAGACTTTCATCTATTATCCTTGTTCTAAATCTCTTTCTACTTTTGGCAAGTATTTTTTAATTTTTATAAAACAAATACTTCAGTGCCCCCACCAAATGCAATATTATAGTTTTGGTCATTTTCCTGTTCCATAACTTATAATCTTAAAGCTATGCTACATCACTTTAATTCTTGCTGTCTGAAGAAAAAGTTTAATCTTTTTATATTAATGTTAAAAGATGGAGTTTTCGATACAAAAATGAATGCTGCCTTGATTCAGAGAATTCAAATATTATCTAAAATAGAGGAAAACTTTTTTTGTAATAACATATCTTTTATTATTCTCCCATGTGAAATTTCCTTCATATTTCACTGCCTTTGAAAACTTACAGGATAATTTTTACTAAATAAAATAAGCATCGATGATTTTCTAAGACTTGTCCTTTGACTGTACAATATAGTAATGCTTTAGACCTTAGCTGTAAGTCTTTTAAGAACATATTAGTTTGAAATTCTATTCCCTTTTTGAGAAAGGCAAGATATTAAAAATGTATTCTGAAATTGTTCTTTGATACAGGCCTCCTTTCAAAAGAAAATAATACTTGCAAGAAGTTTCTACCTCACGTTGATATATATTGAATAAAAGCATTTTTGAAAAATGTTGCAAGGTAAATGGGGAAAACTCTATATGCTGTTAACCAAGAATATGTTCATATCAGCAATGCACACTGGCCCAAGTGTGCTGATGTATTTATCTCACCTTGTTCTCAGTGTGATACCCATAGGTAAACCTAAATTTTCAGAAATACTGAAAATACAGAAATACTGAAAAGATATACTTGGGAATATATTTGCACATATGTAGTAAATTAATTTTATTAAGGATTACTTTTAAACATATGTATCATTTCTTATACGTATGAATATATATGTGTGTAGACATATGTGTGTAGATATGAATATAAAAATGCATGTATATACATATGTATATACACATTGTGTCTATTTTTATGAGAGAGTATGAAAGAGAAAGAGCGTATGTGAACAAAAATACTGGTACGGAAATATCTCTTCATAATTTTTATAATTTCTTTAAAAGACAGGCGATTGTGAAAGATTTAGAGACTAGAACAACCATAATCCAAGATTCAATATTTTAGAGACCCTTTTCCTAAGAGTCATTATAACATATGCCAAAATCTTAGTTCAATTTGATAAATTCTGATGCAGAAATATCAAATCCAAAGATCTCTTTAAAAAAAAAAAAAAAAAAAAACGAAAAAACGGGGAACCAGCAGTTAGCGTAATGGCTATGTCGCTGGATTCCCACGTAGTCGACTGCGGTTGGCGTTCCGGACCCGGTGGCTTAAAACAGCCGGGCGCGTGTGCGTGCATGCCCAAGATCCCAAGAGGAGAATGGAGGAGAAGGGATTGCGGCGTGACCATCTCCTCTGGGGGGTGATTTCTTGCTTTCTGTCTCTATGTCTCTCTCTGTCGGTCTGGCGAGCACACGCGCACTGTAGCAAAAACCTCTCCAAAAAAAAAAAAAAAACGAATAAGGCATGCATAAATCAAGTAATGCCATACATTGTTTAGGGGTTACAATACCAGATCAGTTTATGGAGTAACAGAATCAGCAGTTATGTCTAGGGTTTAGTGACTCTAATCTTGTGATGTTAATGTGTGAAAAGTGTGCATAACTTTGGAACATTTCTGGCCATGGGTCAGTTCCATGGGATAAAGGCATGATCATGACAGAATCATGTGTCCAGCTGGGGTAGCAGTCAGATCTCAGAGAAATGCGGTGAAGAAGGAGGGAGGAGAGACCTCAACATATGGAGCTTACCCTGATGTATCCTTCACTTTTCCACACTCATATAACAGTATTTTTACCTTGATAAATTTATT